TAGTTTTCATTTATGCTATTTCAGTGCCAGCTAGACGTCTGCCCCCGACCCCACATATTCCCACCAGCACAGCTCTTTCAGTGGGAGCTACAGCAGCAATCACGTTGGTTAAAATATCCATGCTTGCTTTCACCACCACTAAACTGCCACCAGTGGAGCAGTACTGTGGAAATTTTTAAAAATTGGTCTACTGTGGACAAGGCTTTAGATATAAACGAATTATGCTAAGAAAAATCTGTGTGGAGCATGCCAGAGATTTAAATGTGTGAATGTCCTCAAATAACCTACATAGCCTAGAGAAGTTTCAGCCAACTGTCACACCCAGTTCTGGATTCCACATTAACCACCTCCTTCCGCAGCGTTAAACTTTGCCCTTAAGGACTTTTGTTTAACTTTTTAATTTGAAAAACAGATACTGCTGCTTTACAGCCTCCACTTTTTTCTTTAAGTGAAAGGCCTCATTGTTATTTCAGGAAATGTACAGGTAGAAGTACTTCTGAAAAGTTTTTGTTTGTTTTGTTTTAAAACACACAGAAGATGCTTATGATTACGTTTCAGAGCCAGGATAAAATAAATCACTCAGGAAAGCTGTTTTGAGAAGATTGTATTAAACCATGGGCCTGATTCTGAATTTCTGGCCCAGGCAAAATTGTTAATAAAGTCAGTGAAGTGCTTTCTGCTTTTCTCTTGTAAATTGGCGAGTTTTCAGTGTGTGTTTCCCAGTTGTTCTTTTCAGTACAAAGGCCACAAGTGCCAAAAGTTGCTTACGATTTTGTATCTGTGCTATCTGGAGAAGAGCATAAAAAATGAATACACTGGTATTATCAAAGAAATATAATTGCCATTTCAGTCTTCTTTTGTTTAGGTTTGAGTCAAGTAGATATAGTTTATGGTTCGTAAAAACTTACTAATGTGAGGGTTCTAGGATCCTGGCAGTGTAAAGCTTCAACTTTCATGGTGCTGTAAATTAGGGGGGGGGAGGGAAGTGTGATAATACTCCTCAGAGAACAGTAAAATAGAGCTCTGCAATGGTTAAATGGAATTTTATAAGCACATTCGGTGTGGAACTGTTTTGCATTACATGAGTTGAATACCTTAGAGATGACACACATCTGCAGGCACTTTATTAAATCCTTAGTCAGCACTTTTCAACCTGATGAGATTACTTCTTCATTTGACTGGAGAAAGGAAAGCTAAGATCTTGTACCGGACTGCAGAATTCTTTTTGATGTTTCACCTTGAAGACTAGAAAAGGACAGTGAGATACTCTGTAGGTCAATACAGAACTGTAGTAATACTGATGACTATATAGCAGTAATTTTACTTAGCTAGGGCCTTTTTGGTCCAGTGGATTCATTTAACTCTAACCTCATTACTGCAAAAAAAAATTTTTTTTCAGTAAATATAGGTCAAAGCTAAATGTTTGCTTTTTCTGGTAAAATGCATAAGGAGAACTTCACCCTGCATTGTGTTGTGATATTGCACGCAGTTTAAATAAAGATGGAAAATTAAGAAAAAGAAATACTTTTGTTCCCTAGCTGGATACAGTACGATAGATTGCAGGACATGGAAGAAGGACAAAATGTAGGCTGTAGCCTGAAAGCATAGTCAAGTTAAATTGTGTTGGGGAGCATTAGCAAAAAATCCATAGATTTGGGTTTGCTTGTTTCACTAATCCATTATGCAAAGAATTCTGCAAATCTTAGAGTCAGAGCTGCATATACTGTTACAGAGGGAGTTTCCTGGATGAGTCAAAAGAATAATTGAACTTTTCACACATAATCCAACAACATTTAAACAAATGTGGACAGTTTGGGGGACATGGGTTCTGAATATTAAAATGATTGTCTAGGAAAATAGGATAATTATCTATGTTTATTTCTGCTGTAAAATATGAATTTAAATGGTATTTTGAGAGCGGGCTGAGAAAATGTTATGGTATTTCTGTTCTGCTGTCTCAGCATATAAAATATTTCATCAAAGAATAGTTGCAAAAATAGCCAGTGCTGTGCAGGTATGTCTTTGTCATTTGAATTTCTTATTCTTAAAATCAGCTTTTATTCAAAGGCAATTTGGATAACCAGATCCCTGGACACAAGTTTAAAAAAATATGTTTCAATTTAAGACTGAAAGGGTTAATTAAGTTTTTCATTGGTATTAAGATTGAACTGTGTCTGCTGGAGTCATATTGACACCCCAGTGCATGGTAACTCTACTCCTTTATTGACATGTTGCTAGTCAAGAGCACAATAGCACTTTGTGTCTGCAAATCATTGGTAAAATCATCTCAAGAAAAAAAAAAGTTTGAAAGCCTAACGCTAGACAAAGGCACAAGAGCTGCACTGCGCAGCTAAAAACTCCAGAGTCAGCAACTTCTATTGATTAAAAACTAACCTTTAAAGTAACTCTCAGAGTGTGTGGTTAGCATTTAAATTTAAACATGTCATGAGTTGATTTGTGTTACTGAATACCAACTCAGAAGGAGTTACATTCACATCAGATTTTTTTCTAATTCCCTTAAGCAGCTAAAGTATTTCATGAAATGTCAATAGGGCAGTAGAGAGGGGGGGAAAAAGGTGTTTTGGGGGAAGCAGGGGGGGGGAGCCAAACTGAGTCTTGTATTTCCTTTTCCCATGCAAATATTCAGCCCCAAAAGAAAAGTGTAGGGAGAGAAACACAATAATTAGACCTTTGTCTAACTTTCCCAAGTGCCAGAGAAAGACAGATTAATTAAATATACAACAGTGTTAGTTTTTGGAGTGGGGGTCTCTCTTGCTGTGTAGGTCATAAATTAGGCAGAATAAATACTTCAATGTGTTTGCAGTGGGCCTGCTACGTCAGAGCCACTGGAAGGTTGGTGGGAGGAGAGCAGAGTGTTTCTTGCTAATGATAGTCACGTCTGGGTCTGTCTGGTTGCTCCTAGCAACCAGACATGATGTAACACCAGGATGAACTTGAACTTGGGGGACTTGAAAAGGGAACAATAGACCAGAGCAATCAATAAAGCCTATTTCAGTGAAGGATTACAGAGCTGCTCTGGGGTAACCTTGTCTGCAAAGCACACACTGAATAGTAAGATGTGTGAAGAAACTTTTTGCTTTTTAAGAGGAGTGCAGAAGCACTGCAGAATTTTTTAGTAATGCAGTGAGAAGCCAGGAGAAATGTGGTATAGAAAAGTGCACCCCCTGCTGTCCAAAATGTGCAGTAAGACTCATTCAAACAAATACTGCATATTTAACTGTGCACTGAAGGAAGATTAGGAGTTTTAAACTGGTTTTGTGATACTTTACTAATTAAAACTCCAGACTACTTTAGCACCCCAATAATCCAAATCTAATCTATTAAAAATGAGATGACCAAAGGCAAGAAAGGACTAATTTAGCAGCGGCCTGGACATATTGCACAGTTGCTACTTTTTTTGAATTATTGGAAGATCTCAGTGTGTACTTGCTGGAATGATTTGCCTTCCTCGGTTCTTTAAAGCAAACGGTTAACAATGCACACCTGAAAACACAGGAAGTGTATTTTTTTAAAAAATCTGCTTCTGAAATAAAAATCTAGTTACGAGCCCAGGAAATTTTACCCCAATATATATAACTATCCTTTAACTGTTTACCCATGTGACCAGGCAAACCTTGATGGTAACCTACCAGAGCTTGGCAATAAAATGTTTTTTACCTACTTGAATGACCAAGTCTGAATTTTATCCCTTTTGCTCCCTGCTATGCACTTTCACAAAGCACATCCTTGTCAATTCGGGCCATTCTGAAAGCTATAACATTTGTATCGTGATTGTAAACATACATGTGAAATTCAGAACAACTTGAAAATTATGAGTGTTATACTATCCAGGGGCCAATTCCTGGTTGCCTTATCTGTGCACATAACACTATCAAAATTAATGGGACTGTTTAATTAATAAGGAGAGCAGGGTTTGGCACTGCTTTTAAAATAATAAGGAACAGCTAAGAAAACACCGAAATATTTTTTTTTCTGTGTATCTTTGAGTGTAAAAATGATTTCATTTAATTACAGCCAGTCTAAGAATGAATACAAGAATCTGTATGCAATAATTGAAGCAGATATGGAGATGGTATGTCTGTGCTTAGAAAGGGGAAGGAAGGCAGAGTTAGCTAATGAATTGAATGGGGAACTGGATGACTGGCAACATTTCTCATACCATATTATTTATTTTAACAGTTTCTAGAGAGCCTACCACTGTGGCAAGAACTGTAATCTTGAAGTCTAGCATGGACTTGCCTTGGGGTCCTTTGTTAATATTAATACATAGTATTTTAGTTGATGCCCTATAAATCAAATGAAATGCTGAAAAGAATTGAAGGAAAAAGTTGATAAAACTTGTCATCAGTATGTATGTGCTCAACTATTCTTGTAATACGATATGCCAGGAGCTCATATAAAATGTAAAGAATCAGCAACAAGTCTCTCATAGCTGAGCCCTTCCCATCGTACTCTTGCCTTAACCTATAGTTACTTCTTGTTATTTTAATTCTCAAGAGAGCAGTGTATCATAGTCAGATGCAAATTCACATTCCGTTTCAATCTCAGGTTCTGATACTGATCTTACTCATATCTCTTTCACACTGGTGTGAATCCATCAAATGTCTTCTGAGCTCATTTGTACCTGTTTTACCTCAGTGAAAATGAAGCTACTTGAATTAAGCTACTCTTGATTTACACCAGTGTAAATGAGAATCCCACAGAGACCCCGACAGGCTTATTCTGATGCGGTGGAAAAAGTTGCTTCCTCTGACTGGGGAACTTCGGTGTTCCATGGGCTCACAGCCACATCATTTTTGGAGTGCTCAAATCAGCCATACTAAAGTGAACAGGGAAAGGTGAGTGGTAACTAATGCAATTAGCTCAATTGTAGATGTATTGGAAGGAGCTGCAAAGACCACCGCAAAACTTGTATTCTAATCAGGGGGAAAAACTCTGAGGACTTGACAGCTGAAAGTTTTTCTCTTTTTTTTTTGCAGTCCTGGTACCTGGGATAAAAGTGACAGCTTCTCATCACCCACCGGACAGACCACCTGACTCCTTCCCAACTCTGTAACATGGAAGCAGCAGCAACACAGTGCAGTTACTTCACATCAGTGGAAGGAGAGATGAACAGATATCTACAGCAAACTAGTACATGGAAATGGCAAATGTTATGGTCAATGGCAAAGGCCATAACTTTTTTGAGATTTTTTTTAAACACCTTAGGGACTGTTGTAATTTCTCATACGGTGCTGGAAATGGTTGGGCTTCATAATTTTTGAAGTGTTTCATTGGTAGTGTAAGTATTAGGTGACACTGGGTAGAACTAGCCTCTGCTGCTGCTTACTGACTCGCTGTTGTAACACACTTTCCATATGGAGCCTAACTGTTTTACAGCATTTTCACTGATTATTTTCCCATGCAGGTGTGAGACTTCTCGAGAAATCATGAAACACACTTAAACTGTAACTTTTGTAGTAGCTGAATTCTGCAATATATAGACTTACAGGACAGACATAGGGCATGTTTTTCTGTAACATATCGGGGGGGAAAATGCTGTTTTTTGTTTTGTTTTGTTTTTTTACAGTCAGCAGTTAGATACATAACATGAAAAATCTGAGCACTGTCAACAGGTTTTTTTCCACTCAAGTTGCAGAGCGATTTAAAACATCAAACTACTACTATTCACTTAAAAAAAAAAGAAAAAAGAAAAAAAAAGTTTGAAATGCTGCACTTACATAAAAAACATTTTTTTCAGCAATTTTCAACAATTACAAAAAAAATTCATGCAGAAATGGGGAAGTTGGTCTGTTTTGACAGAAACTGACAGGAATCAAAACAATCGAATTTTGAATTGAGTAAAGTGCAATTTCATTGGATAGCTAAATATCTTTGTAAGATAGAGATTGTTGAAAATTCTATTTTTGTTTTCCAAGTCCTTCCACCCCAGGACTCTAAATTATTGGGGTAAAAAACAGCCTTGCAAGAAAAAGGGGAGCTATTTTTGCTTTTTATGTTTTTTATTGTTAAACTTGTATCCCTTTAAAACTGAAGGAAAATTAAAAAAAAAAATCTAATGGTGCTTTTACCACAATATGTTAACTACATTAAATGCTAATTAATCATTTTCTGTTATCAAAGCACATAACTAAAATTAAATCATAATATCTGTTAAATTTATAAGCTAAAAGTCACTATAGTGGATTATGCCAATTCTGACAAATGTTACGTGTTTCCGGCAGTATAGGGTTATCACTTCTCAAACACCTTGGGAATCATATGAAATAGTCCAGAAATTAAAACACCTCTGTGTCCCTGAACTGGTACTTTTTCTGGACTACAAAAAAAAAAAAGACAGAAACAAATGCTGATGTGACAACTTATGCCAGTTCTAAGCAAGGGCACTTGCTGAAAAAAAAAGTTTGGACCCCAAACGTCCTGTATCTTATGTATAAAAAAAAAAAGGAGAAAAAAAAGAAAAAAAAAGAGTGCAAGTGATTTTTTTCTATCAGACAGCGGAGCACCCCTTTGCTTCACATACAACTTTAAGAAGGTTTCCTATACTATACATATATATACGTTCTGGTTGGCAAGTCCAGCTAATCAGAGAAAGTCTCTGCATGTTCTAGTGTTAGTAACTAATTTTTATATAGTTAATGTAGGGTAAAGTAGAGTGCATTAAGACACAATATTGTAATCCCTATTCCAGGCACTTGCCTTTAAACTATGTTTGTACGGCCCTTCAGAAGGGTTTCTACTACTGTCCTATACAATCAAGTAACTGAAATTCTTGGGAAGACACTTTGCTCCTCATCTTTTCCCTGAAATAATGTTTTTTTTCTTAATTTGCACGAAACAAAAAAAAACAAAAACAAAAAATTCCATATCAATGTGCCTTGCCCTGGATAGCGATTATTTGTGGAATTGTTGCACATGTTCCTATATTGAAAGGGGATTTTTCCCTAGTCAAGCATTTGGAGACACTTTTTGTAAATGTGACTTTTATGTCAGCCATTGTCAGTTTCAACATCTAGAATTAAATAGAATGTTAGTTGTTCCGCAGATACGAGTAGTGTTTATTGTCCTGTATGGTCAGTGGCAGTGCTATTCTGAGATCTGTAGATGCTAGATTATCAGTATTTTTGGATGTTGCTGCATTTTACATTTTATTTGGAGTCTTCCTTTTGTTTTTTCCCAGATATATGAAAATATGCAATACCTGCTTATATCATGTAGAAAAGCTTAGCAATTATTAATTTTTCTTTTATTTTTTTTATTTGACCAAAGTTGGTGCTGCACTTGACGCAGTGTGTTTTAGGTGTTTGTCTTTGTACTTATGTGATTTTGAATGCACATGCAGGAAGGGCTCTTCTTAGAGAAGCAGTCAAACTGTGAAGCACTAAGCTGAACCCTGCTTCAAGCAATTTTTGTTTTACAATTGTTCCTTTCACAAGCAAGCCTTAAAAAAACTTCCTTTTTCTTCAGATCCCACACCCATTTTTATTAGCAGACTGCAATCAAGCCACATTCAACTAAAGTATATAATGCCCATTTTTATATGCACGTTTTTAAACTTCCAAGTTCTGAAAATTGTTTACTGGTTATTCTCTATTTAAGGAAAAAATAAAATGTTTTGGATTTTCATATGTGTCTGATAAGTGGTTGAGTAGTCATTTTGCTCTGTTGTATTGTGTGATTGTTAGTATATGGTATCACATCTTCTAGCCAGCATCCTTTGCCTTCCCTATAGCACTTAGCTGGGCATTACTTTATTAAGACATATGTGCACTAAAAAATAATAATAAAATTAAAAAAATAGCAGCTTTCAGTGCTTCACAGTGAAGGGAAAAAAGCCTAGACAAACATTTTGTCAGAACCTTGCTATAAGCCAAGGTATTACCAGTAAATTGGTTGTATATACAATAAAATTGCACCCTTTTTTAAACAAAACAAACTAAGCAATAGTTTGGGCAGTTAGTTGTTTTTAGTGAGCATGTTGTAGTCATGGCTGCAAAGAGAGAGAATTAAACTGCCCACTCAGAAGATATGTAATTTGTATGTTGTATAGTTTTATTGATTACACTGATTTATTCTACCCTATTTTATAATGCAGGACTTTTGTAATGTTGTTTAAATGAGGACAAATTTCTGTCAAATTAGCTTAGTGGAATTTCTGATTGTTCGTTATAAAGGCAGCGTTCATAGAATTGCTTTTTTTTCCCCTTTGGGAACTGGATTTAAGTTAAAAACTTTCCTGTTTCCGTTTTGTATGTATTTAAATACAGTTATTTTTCTTCTCTCAATGGTATAGCATATTCCTATGCTTGAGAAGTATAGGCTACTGAAGAACCATTGTAAATGGACAGTACAGGTATGCTGTATTTTTGAAGGCATTTTGTCATATTAAGTTTGATGACGCTAAGGTTTAGGCATTCTGATCAGAATTGCAGAAAAAATGTTTTAAAGGCTTTAAAACATTAGGTAGGCGATCAAGGGTGTTAATCAACAGTGGTTATAAAGTATTAAACACACTAAATTAAAATTTTGTTCACCTTATTACCATGCAGAAAACACAGCAGTTCAGTTCTGTTCACATATGGAGAACAAATTGTTTTTTATTCCTCAAAATAAAGTAAAAACTGGAGTTCTGAGCAAGACAGCCGCTTGGGGTGTGCAGCCAACAATAAAGAGAACGTGCAGGATTCAGGTGGACAGTATTGATTCCTAATTCAGAATCCAATTACACTTCCTTCCCCTTTTAAATTGTTTTATTAATTTGTTAAAATATAATGTGAACAACTTTTATTCCCTCTCTGGAAATTTTGTCAGACACAAATCCTGACTCAACGCCTCCTTCTCCTCAAATTTAAAGATTTAAAAATTGCTTGTCATGAATTGACTCCACCAGTTAATTCCTCTCTTTTCCTCTTGTTGAACTAGGGCACTGGCTTTTGTTATGCTGCGCACCCCAGCAATGCCATTATTTATTCCTCGTCCTTTATCATAAAACGTACAGGCTAAAGTTAAGCAGCCATGGCATACTTTGTCTCCGCTCTTTATTCCTCCCTCATCCCTCCTCTCTTGAGGTTGAGGGGTAAAGGAAACACAAAACTTTCCTCAACTCCACAGTATTCAGTCAGCCCACAGGAATATGCAAATCCTTCTAACTTTGTTTTTCTTTCACTATTTCTTTTTGTTCCAGGTATTTTGCAGCTTTGTAGTAACAGTGTTATAAAATATTTACTGTACAAAAAAATACAAAAAAACCCAGATACATAGCCTAAAACAGTTTTTTTTCCTTGTGGTGATTTTTTTTTAAAGAATGTCAGTTCATATTGTACTTTACATTGTGTCTCTGGAAATATCTTCTTTTTTTAATTATTTTTTAGAAGGCCTCCATCGAACAAAATTAAAAACACAACCGGCATGATAATGTAAGGAGAGCTTCAATGGCACCTAAAAAGAAACAACTTTCATGAGGTCTGTTGGAGGAAGGTCTCATGAAGTGAATGCTGCCTGCTAGGCAGGATTTCCATTAAATCAATCTTACAATGCCAATTTTGTCTTGAAGTCAATGCATGTATTGCTGTTTGACAGTAAACCCGGCTATGCCATCATCAAGTCCAAGGCTGTGCAATAGTCTAATTAGTATCGAGTACATTTTCCTTTTATTTTTTCCAATAAAAAAGCAGTGGGATGAAAATTGCTTTGATATATAGCAGGTAACATTGAAGCTATTCCATAGCACTTAACTGTAGTGAATACTGTGTCACCAATTCTGAAATCAATTTAATGTTTAATGCAAATCCATTACATGGTGCTATTACAGGCTGGCAAAATGATTTACAAAAATGTGACAACTTGGGCTCAATTCACTCTGCTTTCCAACAATGTAAATGCATAGCAGTGTTTATCTGCATGAGAACTATGCACTAATCTATCTGAAAAAAAAAAAGAATATATCAACTTTGGTATCTACTTTCCGTTTACTTAAATCCTTGCCTTTTTGGTCATTGTTATAATGCCAGCTTTAGGACAGAAAGAATTATAAGAAAACCAGCATAATACCTGATATATTAAAATGTAGTGCCTGTGAAATCTGTATTATATTGCTCTTCTAAAGTAAGATTTTTCTACACCGGTAGCCTTCGCTGTCTGTCAGAACCTTCTGATATAGGTGATGTAAAATAACCGTACAATATTAATGCATGCTATTCCATAATGCTTAGTGAGCTGTATGAATATTACTCAAAGTTATGTTAGTCTTTTTTTCTGACTTGGTTCTTGTCAGATAGGTTTAAAGATATTTCACTGAGAACGCAAATTCTGTCTTTTCTTGATTTGGGGTGTTTTCAGTATTTTGGAGGTATACATTTACTTAAATTCAGTATTACTTGTGGGGGGGTTTCTTTTTCTTAGAGGGCAAGCATGGGTGTTGAGGCCAAAAGTCTGTCTCTGGTCAGATTTTTGTCTCAAAAGCTACCTTAAGAATTCCAAAAGAACGTATGTATAAATTTAAGAGACAGTTTTCAAACCCATAACTGAGACTTAGCTGATGTTGAAAGTGATTTCTTAATGGGCAGTGTTTAACCAGGTACCCATGCTTGACGCTTCTTCTCACCAGACCTCCTTGTATAAAAGGAAAAAAAAATCATTAGGAAAAAAAGAGAGAAAGTAAAAAAGAGAATCTCTTGTGGCTGTTTAGTTGCAATATTTTTCCTTCAAACAAAATTCTGTACAAACTTTAGGCATGATTCATAAAAGACCATTTGCTATTAACACGGGATTTTGGTGTACTTTTTTTATCCAAACGTGAGGACACTTTCTTCCCCAGTAGATGATTTAGCAAGCCTTGTACACAAGCACTCATCTGCCTTTCATGCCCCGTGAGAGCTACATATCCCACAAAGTGAGCAGAATCGCTCAGAAAAAGGGGTCATGGCAGGGATTGGAATGTCATGTCCAACACCTGCAGTACACAAGAATGTTAAGAGGAAAGGAGGATGTAGAGAAGAGGAGAGCTCTTTACTACACTCTGGCCAATACATAGGTTTTATACATTTATGTACAATGTTCCTCCTTTACAGAAGGAATTAATCTGTTCCATGCAAAATATGCCTAGGTGTGCTACCTCTGATTCCCACTAAGAACATTCATAAGCAAAAACTCTTGCATACAATCTAAACTTTTGTACTTTTTACAATGGTTTTTAAAGAAGACTGTTTTCCACTTAGTCTATGCTTTTGCTAACACGAGAACAAAATTATTTTTCTTTTCCCAAGTCTTCCCTTTCCTCCTTTCTTTTACAAATTAGCAATTTTATTTTAGAGAGAAGAAAGGGAAATAAGGTGAATAGTTATCTTTAGAGTTCAGTGTGTTAGATGGATGATTTCCCAGCTGTAAACTCTCGTCCTTTGCTATTGGTTTGGTTACTGCCATAGAAATGCAAAGTAGTTTATGGGCATGGATACCATACAGTGAAGATTTACAAAATGGTTTGCTGTAGACACACAATCGGTGGGAAGTCCCCATTCTGCACTTGTATTGTTTTTTCTCCAAAGTTAAGCATTCACCTAACTCTTCTTGTCCACTCAAATTCCTCATTTCAATTTTCAGTTTGCTCTCCAAAACACTTCTAATGGATGTTTGAAAGATCTGCTGGAAAATCACTTAGCACCCGTGTTAATACCATGTTGTCTTTATGATTTTGACTTGAGCCCCTTGTACCTCTCGTATACTTGTATTGACTCTCATAGTTACCATTTTAGTTTTACTGTGTTCTGTGAAAAAAAATTGTAATTGGTTGAGAATCACTGTGGGCATCCATTCTTATTCAACTAAATCTCCGCAGGTTTTTTGAGCTGGTGTGGATTAGTTTAACTCTTGTATTCAACCATTAGTGCTACCACCTTCTCACATTACAATACAATTACTGGAAGCAAGTACTGCATTTCCTATGCAACAAAAAAAGGAAAATAAAAAACTGCTAATGCTAACAAACTGCGTTGTTATTTACTTTGTGCTGTGCCCAGAAGTGTCCTTGGGCATTTATGGGGCCACAGTAATTATTGCCTGTTGAAACATGACATTATCAAGATATGTCACTGATCTCTTTGGGCCAGCTTCATGCCTTTTATCTGGGTTTGAGTCCTGTGGGTTCCACTTCATCAGCTGTTCCCCAGTCATGTGGACTTTCAGTTGAATTGACATAAATATGTAACACACTATAGTTTCTCAGTCCCATGGGTGTCCTGTTTACAAACATTATGAATCACTCTTCAATAGCCATTTGAAGGTTACATCATCAAAATAAAGATATAGTCAGCCTAAAATAAGAAGGGATACTTCTTACTCAAGCAAACAGAGAACATGTGTTAACTTAGAAAACATTTGGGTGAATCTTTAAGTACACTAATATGTGGCCACTAAAGTCACTAACCTTGCTCCTTAGCATTTGAATTTAATTTTTAGTGTCAACATTTTTATTAAGTAGGTCTAATCAAATGCCCACATTTCAGCATTTCTAGGAATCCATCATTTCATAAACATACATTGTTTTAGACCTGGTCAAAATTTTCTGACCACTTTTTTGTCAAAAAGGGGAGGAGTGTTTCTATAAGACACTGAATTTTACACACACAAAACCTGGTTGAAATTTCAAAATTTCTTATAGAGAATTCAATTTTGATAGGAAAAAACAACAACCGAAAACCTACCCTAATTTTTTTAAATACAATTTGCATCCAGAATGTTTGCTTGTTTTTATACCAGCTTTATTCCATTTCTGTAAATAGAGATATATTGTTTGGTTAAATGAGTTCACTATATGAGTTAATTTCCCCATGCATGGATAACCACATCAAAAAAGGCTCCAGCCATAACAGGGGTATTTGCTGGCATGTTCAGCAGCAAGGCCAGTGATGGGCACAGAGACTGACATCTCTGGAGGTGGTCTCCTTGTACAGTCCAGAGTTGAGAAACATTGACAAGGCAGTATAAGAAACCTTGTGTTGTTATGGACCATGGAGAATTTGCTCTATGGATAACCAGAAGGCTTCAACTTAACACGAGGTGAATGCGGTACTTTCTTCAGTGCTGTTCTGACACACTGACATGACAAAAGAACATAAATATTAACACAAAATTAAAATGCAATCCCACATATATCCCTGGCATCATTGAAATCTGATTTCTGTTGTCTCTGGTCAACTAAAATTGCTCTCACTAATGTCACTCATTAACTCTTTTTTTTCTTGTTGGTCATGCTCTTCACTCATTGTCTTGAGTGTCTTTAACTGCGCTTTCTTGATTCTCCTACCTCTTATGCGTTAATATTATTTTGTGTTAACATTATTTTATATTGATACTGGGAATGCCTGCACTGTACAAACACAAAAAAAGACACGATCCCTAACCTGAAAGGCTTACATCCAAAAAAAGACACAATGAACACACAGATGGCCAATAGGTACAAGAGGGCCATCACAGAAGTATGGAGTCCAAATGGTCCATCTCCTGCTAATGCAACATTTTAATTCTAAACAATTGTTAATACATTGTGAATGTATGAAGTACAGACAATCATTTCATTCATAGGCTATGGCTATATTGTAGCCTTCTTCCTCATTTTTTCAGGAAGAACGGCTCTTGCGCAAGAGGGGGATTTTGCGCAAAAAGGAGCCGCCTATACAGCTCCTTTTGCTCAAAAGCCTCTTGTGCATCAATATCTGCCTGCTGTCCCCATAACCAGAACCATCCTCACAGCTCCCATTGGTTGGAAACTGGCCAATGGGAGCTGCAGAGCAGTGCTTGCCGCCATGGGCAGCACATAGAGACCTGCTGCTCCCCTCCCCTCAAGGGATGCACAGAGACAGGCTAAGCTACCAGCCGGGAGCCACCTATTGCAAGTGACTCCCTGCCAGAGCCTGCACCTGACACCCCCCTCGTGCATCCCAATCCTCTGCCCCATGTCACAATACTCTCCTGCACCCAAACTCCCTCCCAGATCCTACACCCTCTCCTACTCTCCTGTCCCAGATCAGAACCCCCTCTTGCACCGAAACTCCAACTCAGATCCTTCATCTCTTCCTGCACTCCAATATTCTGCCCGGAGTTCCCCGTGCACCCACTTGCCATCCCAGATCCCTCATCCCCTCCGTTAATATAGTATAAAGTGTGGCTTGTGACCACTTACCAAATTCTTGGAGCGGCCCCACTGCAAAAATTATTGCCTACTTCCAACATAAACTCTGGTCACTAAAATACATCCTGACCACTTTGGGCCTAAAAGTTTCATGAAGGATGTATTCAGATTTTCTCTAGACATCTTGTGTGCAGGGAACAGGAAAGGGAGTCTTCCACAGAAATGTATTAAAAAAATTCACCAACAGCTCACACCTTCTTGGGATGGCTTCACTATGGCTCTTACATGTTGAGAGGAACTGGTTATGCATTTGCTAAGTTATGTGGAAGATACGCAGTAAATATGCCAGAGGTTGTGACTGAATCCCTAAAGTAAAAAAGTAAAGCTCCCTTGACAGTTCAGTTGTAGGCATCAGCTATGCTCAGGCCAGGTCTACAATAGACCCAGGAGAACTGCTTAAGGTAAATAACGTATCTGGCGTCAACATACCTTAAGACGGGCTTGACACCATCTTGCCACAAACACTCCCATCAGCTTCCCTTTCTCTTCACAAATCAAGGAGTAATGGCGCTGATGTGGGCACCCTCAGCATTAAATTTATCAGGTCCTTACTAGACCTGCTAAATTGAATGCCAGATGATCGATCTCCAGCATGGCAAGTGGAGATGTGGCCAAAGAAATATAACTCCATTGGTGGCACTGCAACAGATCCAGTGAACCTTCTCTTACCAGGCTCAGGAGACAGTGTGTTTAAAATGCTGACAACCATATGGAGCTCCATTTACATTTATGCTCCCACTAGTAGAGCTGATGGGAAATTTTAGCCAAATTATGGCATTGGTGCAGAAATTACAGTTTGATTCGATGGTCTCTGATATTCAGAGGGTCAGTTTAGGTGATCATAAAGGTCCCTTCAATGAAAACTTATATGGGGGGAGGGGAAAGCCATGTGTAGAAATAGTGTTGGCACAACGATATTTCTTGTCGAAAAGTCACAGAATGGTGAGTCGGTGATCTACCACTCTGCATGAATGTGGTCAACTCATTTAACCTCCCTGCATTCTCAATTTCCTCATCACTCAGAATGAAGATAATAGGATTTGTCTACTTTCAGGGATAAATTAACACTTGTAAAGCACATTGATATAGTTGACGGGAAGGTGCACATTATTATTCCGACTAAAATGACTCTACTCAGATTGAAATGTACCCTAGAAGAATACATAATACATCTAACACAATGGGGGTCCCATTGATCAACAGCAAATATATGGCCAAGTGTAAAGTATTCACAATCACAAATGGCCTTAGGTAAAGATATTATGTAGTCATGTCTAGCGTTTACTGTAAAAATTAAGCATTCTACTGTTTCATTTACTGGGGCAGCCTCTATGACAGGCTCACATGGTAAGTGAAATACTGACATGCTAGGTTTAAGCCAATGTTGTCATAGCCCAATACTCGTAGGCAGCTGCCAGTCCTCGGCACATTCAAGCATAGCTTTGGCTCCAGAACTAATTTTTTTGTATTTCTATGCACAGAGGAGAGATTTCCATAATACATTCTGCTACTACATCTGGCTGAAACTAAGAGCAACAATAGAACCTGTTTACAGGAAGATTTATATGATCAGTATCTCATCGAAACATGTACTTTACTTTGCATAGATTACAAACACATACACACACACACTTGTCACAAAGGCAGGGTATTACTGCATAGTGTTCGAAAGATTGCAGCTGAAATAGAGATTTGAGAGTCATAGAGAAAACCTTAGCAAAGAATTTAAGATCCGCAATGGCACAAAGAATAGTCTCACCAAACTTCGTTTTTCAGTCACATAAGATCAACACCATTAAACTCATCCAGGTTGCACATTACTAAAACAAGAAGACAATTTTTTTAACCTCTAATTGATGAAGGTTTTTGTAATGGGCAAATTGGGTTTCACGTGCATTTTCAGCATACAAAAGAAACTTTTGAAGATCATTTCCATTTTAGTGTTTTCTCACACAACACTGTCTGGTTTGATTCTCATTACTAATAGAAGCATATTCTGAAAACTAGTTCACCACTAGGAATGGGAGGCTACATTCACGCTTGAAACACATAACTCCTTTAATAAGGTTGTGTTTGTTAGCAAGTTAGTGGACAGTGAAATGTCAAGCAGAATGTTGTCTACAGTGTGCGTATGTCAAATTTCAATGTTCTAGATAATCTAGGCTCTTTCCTTAATGCAGGCTACACCAAATTGCTTTCGTATTGCTGATATATAATCTTCAGAAATTTTCAATCTTCTTTCAGGCTTATTGTTATTATAATGATATCCTCAAGGGATTACTTATATGTCATGAAACAACAGCCTTTTAAATTCATGTTATGGGCTGATCTAGCTATTTAATCTTTTCCTTAAATGTAAATGTTTCTGATGATATGGAAAGAAAAGGAAGGAGAAAGCATTATTAAGGCAATGGGTTAGTCTAATGTCTTTTGTCCGCCAAAGACAAGCCATGACTGGAAATATTTATTGGTTCAATACTTCAGCAACATGGTATTAATTGCCTCAGAGTGTTTTGATAGGTAGTTAGCACAAGGGTATTAATGAAAATAGCACCACTTCATTTTAAAATTAACTACTTGGCCATTCAGCAACATGAGCTGATAAATTATAGCAATAAATTTGTGACTGAGATTTATGTAATCGTAACTCAAACTCAGGCCTGTGGGCACACTCGGACGAGGCGATGTGAGAAGTAACTTAGAAGCCATACTTTGCTATCGTTATCAAAGCAGTCATGCTTTTAGGCCTGCTTTGACTCCTTTACAACGTCTCACCTTCCCTACTCCATGGAA